GTTTCATAGCCGGATTTTTTAAGGTTATTCAAATTATTCTGTACAACATGCAGATCACGGTAAAAGCGGCGGATAAAAATACTCGATTATTATTTCTAAAAGCCATTTAATAAAACGTGTGTGGGATGAGGATGCGAACTGCAAATTTGTTGTTCCCATCTGTTCCCATCATGCGATTTTTAATCCGCCAATCAGGGATCGGCACAGAACAGAATTGAACAGGCCTAATAATAATAAGTCAATATTATTTAACTGTCCCAATAAACATGATGCATAATAATAAGTAAATTGCTTACTTAGTAAAATGTTATCTCAATTGTAACCACTTTTTGATGTCTGTGGATGTATTAGTAGGTAAACCCTACAATTCTATGTCACTATCCTTAATATAATCAAATGAATAGGCATAATTTAGTGAGTGTGTTTGTCATTGAGATTTCTTAATATACTCGTTGAGATGTTGATTGTTGCTAGTCCATCCATCAGACAATTTTTTCTGACCACAAATACAAATGCACACATGGGACTACATCAGAGTATTTCACATGGAGTGCAGAATCCATAAAAGAATAATTGTCCTGCTAACTATAACATCCATGTCATATTTGTTACCATTAGATGTGGTGAATTCATTTATCAAAAGAGTTGCAACAACTAGTCATCTTTGTATCTTCTGACTGATTTATGATTACTGTCTTTTTATAGTTGTGTGTTGGTAGTGAGCATATTAATATTCTGGCAAACTCACAAGCAATTGTGTACATGCTTTGTTACTTCTGACTAATGTCAAAACTATCTTCAATATATAATAACTATTTTCTTTATTATAATCAAGTGATGGTTTCTTGTAAACAGCATAGTTATTGCTGTCAACTGGAACTTGGCATTATTAATCTGTGAGTTAGGAATCCATTCAAGCTTAATGACCACTTGTTAATATGTCAATGATTGTATGAGTTTCTGAACTAATGACATTAGTCTGAAGCAGAAGATTTTATAGTCTGTTTTGGTCCTTGATATTGAGTAACCTCTTACAAACATGGCAACATGAAAAGTAATAGTAACCCCTGATGTATTCAAATTTTTAGATTAACTAGACTTTCTAATATACATGATGAGTTCAGAAAATCTATTTAATTTTTATTATTTCTTCACTTTTAACTTACTTTTGTCTGTAATGACCTACCCCTCAAATTTCCTAATTATCTTAACTTCTAGAAATATAAGCTTTTGTCACAGAGATAATAATAAATACTTGCTAATACCTTTTATGGATAAAGATGAGATAAGTACCATATGCAATAATTGTTAACAGTAATAGTTTGGTCCATCCTATCTAGAACATGGATTAATGACTATACTTTGGGCCATCCTACCTATTTACTGAATTGTGATAATGTTGTACTTTCAGAAGTCTTTTGACACTTAAATTAGTTTGGGAGCACATTGAGTACATCTAGAAGATGAACAATACAAAATAAATAAATTTCAACAGCAAAATAGTGGTTTACATTTGCAGTCATATGTAATCATTAAAACCATGATTGACATTAGTTTTTAAATGGCAATTGCATTAAATCTCTTAATTACTTATTACACTTTTTGCTAAGTTGAGACACATGAATATAATCCAAATATCAATACTTACCTTGTATTTTCCAAGCATTAATATTTGGAAAGTTCTTTTTCATCCAACGACCTGCCCTCTCCAACTGTGCCTTACTATTGAAATATAACTCCAGCCCACCATCATCTGTCTTGTACCACCAACAGAACAATTGCAATTCTGTATAACATTTCATAATTTCTTCACTTTTCCAAACGCGGTTTATATCATCACGTTCAATTCGAAAAATACTCTTTTTCTTGGTGAGATCAGGTCCAACACAGTATGTAAAATTTCGGTATTCGCTGTCCAGGGGTTTGTATGATATTTTTAATTCTTTATCTTTACGAGTAATATCCGGGGATTTGAGGTGATGAGATATTGCTAAAAAAATTGAAATTATTTCAAGTGCACCACTTCAACTGTTAACAACTTATGATTACAGCAAAAATATTTCATACCAGAAGCCCAGAACCGTATTTCAACTTTCCACCCTGCTTTCAATATTTCCTCTAATGCAGGTTCATAATCCCCATCGCCGGCTACTAGCACCAATACGCCAGGATCTTTGACCTTAAAGAGAGTTTGGAGATTCCAAGTTTCATATCAACCCGCTTCTCTTTGTTTTCGTTGTTTCGATTGTACACGGTTACTTCATATCCAAGGTCTTTGATTTTGTTCCACGGCGTATCGTCTGGTGGCGGACGAGAACCCACAATAATTGGACTGCTACCCATACTACGTCCACTCAGAATAGTTGTAAGTAGGCATCCATAATCTATCCGAAGACTTTTCATATAGTAAACTTGATGATATTCTTCGACGTTAGTAGCTTCGTTGAATATTTTAACACGGTCATAAATTTTTTCAAGTTGGCCAACAGAATATTTCGCCTCAACGTATAGATTGGAGTTATCGACGAAAACGTGTACAAGTTCGGTATTCACCTTTGAGATATTTACTACATGGAGAAAAATAATTTTGCGCCAGTTCGGTAGGTAAAGTATTATATATAAACTAGTCGCGAAATTGTTACCTGGTGTCGCCTGCAGGAGAATGCGTCGTAGGAAACGAACCCTGGAAATGTCGTCCGTGCATTCTGGCAGAGCATCAAGTACTTCCTGTTTCACACTAGGGTTCGTGGCAAAATACGCAAAGAGTTCGTCTTTTTCGTCTTGCTTGAGATCGTCGAGACGTGCAATTTCCGCGTATACGTTCATGAGGGAGAAATTTTTGCGCATCAGTCAACCGTTTCAATGAATGGAAAATTTGGTATGAATTGGTCACGTGTGTAAACAGCCAATTTCGCTGTTACTACGGAATTATTTGATTGGTCAAAATTCACTCCCGAGTATTTGGATCGGGTGACGTTATTTATAACTTATTGTATAACTCAGATTTCTGAATACAAAAGCGACAAGTTCAAATAGAGATATAAAATTTATATTTATATTCGTTATTTATTATTGGAATTATTGTCGTACTATTACCATATATTGTTGTCATTATCTTTGTTCTTATTTTCGATACTAATACCGATACTTTGATGTAAGAAAAACCTTAGTGGCTAATAAGAAGTTGCCTAGCATTCCTTTATCGTAATGCTTACGTTGTAATCTCTAACAAGATTTTGAAATCTATTATTACATTGTTGTCCTGTAAAGGTAGTCCCAAATTGTTGGTTGATTGTATTTGCTACGCTATTCCAAAAGTCTACCCTGCTACTGCCAGGAATGTTATGGTACTCAGTATTTTTGGTTTTTTTTTTTCATTGATTAGTAAGCGTAAGTAATCATCGGTCCACATCACAAAAATTTAATTTCAACGGATGTTCAACTGAGATATGATATTTCCATACGTTTTTATAAGAAAAAAAATCATCGTACCTTCATCGTACCTTCATCGTGCCTATATTACATCTTAATTATGAGTTAGCAGATATGACGGTTTCCGCTCGCTATATAATAACACATTTCGGATTTGCACATCTCGGATTTGTTTATCTCGGACCGGGCGATCTCAGCAAGGGAATGAAATCCCCAAAATTGCGTAATATAATCATGTGCCTCTTCTTTGTTGAGTTCTTGGCATATGACGACGCTTTCTATGGGGCTGAATCGTAACAGAATCTTACTGTGTTAGGAATCTGAGATCCGGACGATAAAGAACAAAACCACTAACGTGTCAAACCACTCTAACAAGCCTCGGATTGAGTGAATCGATATAAATAAGCAAGAATCGTTCAAAGTCGGTCCCTTACCTTCCCACGAATTTTAAAAGGTACCCTGTTTAGAAATCTATGAAGCGATATCATACTCACTATGAATTTTTTTATTTAGGAACGTAAAATGAGTGAAACTACAGGTGCCAGCATTAATCTCAACTGCCTCTTTATGCCTATTAACGCATTTCATGGTTTACCATATCGAATTCACATAATTCCTATTTCTAATGCATCAACAGTCAACGCGCTATGAATCAGATTCAATCTCTTATGCCAGGTGGGTTAACTCATGTCAACTATCAGCTTCGTGCATTTCGTCCGGGACCTGTGGTATATGTAAATATGGCATCAGGGGATAGAATCAGTGATTATTTCGATGAGAATCTCGATCATAATATTATCCATATCTTCGTAGAACCTGTACCAGAGGAGAATTAGATTTTTGTACGTATTCGTATCATGTAATTGCGATATAAATTTTATTTTGATCATTGTCCTAACAAAAAATAAATATCACTGCCCCATAAGTGTTTAACTTGTAAATGCTGTAAATAAATTGCTTAGTCGCACAATCAAAATTCAAAATATAAAAAAACCTCCTTGCAGAAGATAACAATAAAGTCTCATTTATTTTGCATTTTTATTTCGCAAATTTTACTAATTGTTGAATAAAATGAAGAGGATACAAAGATAAGCGATTTTTTAAAAGGAAGTATTATTGTTGAAATAAACATCTAAGAAATCGACGTATGATAAATGATCATTAAAGAACGCAACAGCACGAAACCACCTTCCCTGGAGATGTCTTAAAATCAAGCGCTGATCATTTTGTAGAACTAAACAATATATATATCCTTCTTTATGAATAACGTCCCGAACCTTAGCTGGAGGGTTTAGTTGCTTGGTCACCAAATACTCTCATGACGACACTCTTATTTTTGCCAATGAGTTCGTTCAATAGATTTAATCGGTTTAGATTTCCTATCATCTCTCTTAAGTATCTCGACTGGACCGGAAAGTTTGCCTGGTTTAAAATCTTTACCACGATATTTATTGTCCTTACAAAAGTCGGTGGCTTTGGTTCTTCCGGCGGAAGTATTAAGCGAGCTTGCCTTCCCGGGGATATGAGTGGACCAATCCTGCGTGTAAAATGTGTTTCCATCAACATGTCCTGTGCTACTGACAGAGTTACTTCTGCCGGCTCCTTAACAAGAACCGTGTGAGTTTAAAAACTTTATAGATCAAGCAAAACATAACTAATAATACCTGTTGATCCTGAGTGAGTAATGCTAGCGCCATTTTCACGTTCACGAGCTTCACGAGCTTCACGAGCTTCACAAGCTTTCTTAAATTCTAAGTGTAGATAAGAATAAAAAAATTTAATATAAAATCGGAACAGTATCAAATAAAGCTTCCAATTTATTGAGGCATTGAAAAGGTCTAAACTGCGAAATGATCATAATTACCTAGAACTTCTTCGTCCTCTTCGAAGGGGCATCCGTCAGCAAACCACTTTGCTAACGCTCGTCGTTTGTCCTGCTCGTATTTCTCAGACGTCATTTTATACATAGTTTATGGTTCAGAAAGCTCAAGTACTGAATAGTGATCATCACTGTCATCATATCGTATATATATTTTTTTCCCACGTGACTTTGTGGCGTAAAGTGTCATCGTGTAACAAAAATTCTTCGGGAAGAGATATTGAAACGTCATTATTCAAATACTTCCGAAGGCGAAATATCATTACAAACAGATTCCTTCTCCGCTTCTAATACGAATGCTCCCATCGATTTCCTCAAACTGTATAAAGATATCCTTGATGCTGAAGACGCTAGCAAGAAAACGGCTCAAGACTTGATCCTTCGGTACAACTTTTTTCGAAAAACAAACCCCAAGCGTACATCCCAAGGGCTAGTAAATAATGAGGTTAGAAAACAGATTCCTGAATTTGTTAGTCAAAGCTTGCTCCGAAAGACAAAGGAAAGGGCCCAAAAGATTTATGATTTATTTAATGAGATTGGGGTCGATAAGATCAAGCGGATTCAGAGCTTTACAGCAGTAACCTTATCCAGTATTTCCCAGGATGATATAGATTATGTTTTAGCCCAACTTTCACTTTCGTCATATCACGATCTATGCATAATGATATCGATATCAAAATCTTCATTAATAAAAAATTTACGCTGTTTACTATGGTTGATATCTTGTGTGATGGGTATAGTACATCTATTACCGAAAATTTAAATCATATGCTTGTAGAGGTGAAACCTCATTGCTCCGCAGGCCCATAGGGGCGACTCGAAGAGTCATAATACACCCTGAAATAGATTATGTAACGATTATGCCGATATAGAATAACACATTATTGCTCCGCAATGGACTCCGCCCTTATCAATTGATTGAGTAGTCGTCTGATACTTCAAAGAGGGTCTGGGTTAAATAAAGATTTTCGCAAATATATCAATTGTGTTTATTTTTTCTTGGCAAAGTGATCGGCGTGAAGATTCTTCACGCGCACGTGATTTTTTATTTGAATTTAAAGGCATAAATCAATAAAAATATTTCAAGACGTATACAATATTCTTCCGAACATTGTTGACAAAATTATATGATTGATATTAAACATGCAATCTAAAGACGATGAGTTTTCAACTCAAGCCTCTGACTCCTCATTGAGAGAATTGAATTCCAGGCTCGTAACTGAAATTGATAAGCTTAGGAGAGAGAAGGATTTACTTATAAGTAAAAATACCGAGCTCTTGGCTAGGATTGTAGAATTAGAACAAACTATAAAAGAAGATGCTGAAAATACAAAGTTAAGGGATGCTAAGCTTAATACCAGAATATTCGAATTAGAACGATCAGCAAAAGAAAACGAAGAGCTTAGAAACAGAGTAGTGAAATTGGAACAAAACCAGTGCATCGATACTAATACCAACTCGTTAGATTATGAAACAAATTCTAACAATACTTCTAAGCAGATAATCTTATGTAATGAGGAGTCTAACACGTCTAGCCACGAAGTGACTGCTTCCGGCAATTCTGACATATACCAGGATTCGGTAACATCTCCCGCAGAAACCATATCATTTGATTCGCAAAGCGACTTACGTCATGTAGAAGAGAAAGTAGAAATGAATTTCTGGATTCAAAGCATAGAGAAACGGTTAGAAAAGAGATAATTCAGAACATTAAGGAGAAGAAGCTTTGGGATCAAGAGTTACTCTCAACTTCTCCATGTCTGCATAATACAGTCAGAGATTCCCCGATTTGTCAATGTAGATTATATGATAGTAAAAAATTTTAAGACAACATATACAACTTTGTCTTTTTGTTTATTAGTATTAAATTAATGATGTTTTCGGACAATACATTTCTAACTTCTTGAGAGTTCATTAAGTCATTGCGGACCGACTTGATAAGCCTCGAAAACGTAATCTTTGTAAATCGCCTAAAAGAGATGACGCCGTGAAGAAGAAATTAACAATTTGAGGGTTTTCTAATATTGCGCCGGGGCCTTGATGTTGATTTAAAAGTTTAGATCGGGAAGTCACAATCCTTTCTTCAATCAGATTGCAAAACCAGGCTTCAATCATTGCTTTTGTTCTTCATTGGCTTTTCAATCAATCGGTAAATCAGGTGGCGTCGAGCAGATCAAATCAGTACAAACATTCTTCTAGCCGCAAGTTTTGATAAAACGAACTCTAGTACGAAAGTTAATAATAGTTTCTTTGTGGAAGTCAACTCTTCACAATGCTCGTTAGGACGTTTCTCAATTCTAATATTTCACGACTTTGATCTTCTAGTGCTTGCTTTAATTGAACAAATAAATTTAGTAAGATCGGATACAGACTGGGTTTTTCAATTTGTTATTAGGCTTTCGTCTTCCGTAGGGCTTTCAAATGTTCTAAATAAATGTGTCTTATCATTGAGAAGAGTGCAACTTAATAGAAAAATTAGTAACATCTGGATTAGTATCAATTCGACGTCATTTATTACAATCAATTATCTAAAAAAGTTGTGTATAAAAGTAATTAGTAGATATAATGCTTTTCATAGATGAAGTTATTGTGCTACATTGCACATTCGGGATATTTTTTTAGCGGGTACACACCAGTTAAAGCAGGTGACTGCATGACGTGTATCTGTATTACATAAAAGGTGAAACAAAAAAAATTTTTCGATCACTCAATCTTTGTTTCTTCTTCAAAGAAACTTTTTTTCATTTACTTTTGCACGACGCGTTACTGCCTTCTTCTCGTTTTTCAGTTCTCTATTACGACACGGTGAAAAAAACCTAATAACAAGCAAGACAAGGAAGGTTGTTACTCAAAAGCGATGGCAAGACCTAAGACAACTAGTCCACTGTGAAGAAGGCTCACCACTGACGGCGACGACGCGTATTTTGTTTTAACAGACGTGTCTTGCGACGAGAAAAAGACGTTTGAAGAACAAGGTAAGGAAACTTGCTGAGTAGCTGTTGATGGTTTGTATTCGAGGGGTACGCTGCCACTAGGTGTAAAAACCGGATATTCGAAAGCGCATCGGGCCACTTCGATAGATTGTTTACCGGTCGGGTACGTATCTGAAGGGACGCTGCCACTAGGCGTAAGTCGGGGTTTTGAATCAAATCAAAACTCTGTCGCTGAAAAAAAGCTACGTTAAATCGAGCTTTGTGGTGAATAGGATACGTTGGCAATCGTGGT